TTCTTCCTGGTCAAGACGGGAAATCAACCGCAGTTGATTATATTGGTGAGAATGGTGAAATTCTCATTTCAAACCCCTCCAAGCAAGGAAAGGATGGCTATCGGATGTTCAAGTTTAACAAGATCTTTAATACACATGTTTCTCAAGGTATAACTAAGTAATTGATCGAAAAACAACTAATTTGGTGTATATTTGAATATTGATCATTAACGAGTTATGTAATACCTTACAGCTGAAGTTTTCTCCGATATCCAGCCTTTGATTAGATCTGTTCTTGATGGATTCAATGTGTGCATTTTTGCATACGGCCAAACTGGATCTGGCAAAACATACACAATGGTATTACCTAATCTTTGACTTGTTCAGGAAAACAAACTTGATTAATATACTTTCTTGGGGATATTGCTAATTAGGAAATAATGTCCTTTGTATGGGTTAGAGCACATGATTTAATAGTCACACCTTTGCATTTCAATTGAACCCCAAACAAAATAAATCACATATGTGCAACAGTAAATTTGTGAGTGAAGACAGGACGAAATGTGCATTGTACAAAAGAGACCATATGCACAGCTTATTTCTCAAACAGTAAAGTTGCACTCTTGTCCTTTTTGTATACTTCATATGTTAATGTTAGTATATTTTTTAGCAAACTTTTGCAGATGTACATGTTTTGTGTACCCACCACCAATACAAGTGAAGGAACAATATTCATTACTAACTGTATGTGTCGCCATCTTTTGTTTTAGAGCGGCCCCGGCAAATCAAAAGAAGATTGGGGTGTTAACTATCGAGCTTTAAATGACTTGTTTGATATCTCGTTAAAAAGGAGAAACACTTTCTCATATGAGGTGGAAGTGCAAATGGTTGAGATATACAATGAACAAGTCCGGGATCTTCTATCAAATGATATTGCACAAAAGAGATATCCTTTATTAAACATCTATTTTCTTTCTGTTACCATGTCTTTCTTTGTTCTGCTATTCGTATAACATGTTATTCTTGACATAAAGAAACACTCGGTATTTGGAGTACTTCTCAACCTAATGGACTTGTCGTACCCGATGCGAGTTTAATTCCTGTCAAATCAACATCGGATGTATTAGACTTAATGGAAATTGGACAAGCAAATAGAGCAGTTGGATCAACAGCGCTGAATGAAAGGAGTAGTAGGTCCCATAGGTATGTAGATTTGACTACTAAGTGAAGTTATCCCATAAAAATCTTGTGAGAGGACAAGCAAATAGAGCAGTTCTAAAAGCTTTGTTTGCATGCAGCATTTTAACCGTGCATGTGAGAGGTCTGGACGTGAAGAATGGATCTACTTCTCGAGGATGTCTACATCTGATTGATCTTGCTGGGAGTGAGAGAGTAGAGCGATCTGAAGCAACCGGAGATAGATTAAAGGAAGCACAACATATTAACAAATCTCTTTCTGCTCTTGGAGATGTCATCTTTGCTTTGGCCCAGAAGAATGCTCATGTGCCCTACAGAAACAGCAAACTGACTCAAGTTCTTCAGAGCTCTTTAGGTAAACATAAGGTTGCCAGTAATTGTGTATGTGGACAAACTTTCTTGTTTTTACAAAATTACCTTTTCATGTAGGTGGGCAAGCAAAGACGCTAATGTTTGTTCAGATAAACCCTGATGTGGAATCATGTTCAGAAACCATAAGTACTTTGAAATTTGCTGAAAGAGTTTCTGGGGTTGAGTTAGGTGCTGCAAGGAGCAACAAAGAGGGCAAGGATATAAAAGATCTGCTAGAACAGGTTTTTTTTGCCCTCCATCTCTGATGAACTTCAAATTACTTGTTTTGATTTGAACTGTAAACATTGGTGAGCAAGCTTTATGTAGAGTTCATATGGCCAGTTTATATGCTATTTTCCTTGTTGTATCTCCTCAAGTAAAACCCTTGTCTGCAGGGAAACTCAAGTTAACTATTGAATGGAAAACTAAAAAAGAAGATACATTGTCTAGCTAACTGGAGTAAATACATTTATATATCTTAGCCTGTTGTTTATTAATATTGTCTGCTGATGCTTTGCGGTATACTCTTATCATATAGTTTCCACTTTCAGTCATGAATATTCTTTCTATATCGGTTTCTCAAGTGTCATCCTCATTGTATCCAGGTTGCGTCTTTGAAAGACACAATATCGCGAAAGGATATGGAAATCGAACAGCTTCAAGTCAACAAAGTCAAATCTCCCAGTTCATTAACAGATAAAAGTGGCAGTAGCTTGCTAAAACAGTCCTCTACGGCAAGCCAACAGAACCAACTAATATCAGGTAAAAGACCGCTGAAGTCTCAAAACTATGCAGCGGTCAACAGAGGCAAGAAATAACCTTTGCTTCCCACTCACCAATATGTATATGCAGGGTCCATTGGATCAGGTGAAACTGAATACGAAGATAATGCATCCGACGATGGTTGCTCGGTAGGTGAAACCGAGTATTCTGTCGGCAGCGCTTCAGAGTCAGCAGCAGATCGAATGTACGTGCCCATTCTGCTTTCTTTTCTATTATCTCTCGTATGAAACCATCATGCACCACACCAGCGCCGGAATTTATTTTACTTCCCCGCAAAAGATGACTTAAAACACCGCACTCTGAACTCAGAAGGGTTTCCCATCAGTTCTTTTGGCCTCACGTCACAGAAAACGCCTCTCAGCCTGATGTGTAACAACATTCTCTACAATTACAGGCAGAAGGGTCCATCAAGACTGACCAGATTTTTCCTGACGAAGAATGGGCAGCCAGCGGCTTCCAGACCAAAACCAAAGGAACCTGTCCCAAAGTCGACGACCATAGGTACGCAGCCGCAAGCAACCTGGCATTTCTATCATATGCTAGGCCACTGGTGCCTGGTATTTACCTGAACATTCTTTCGCGAATGCTCTCGGCTCTCTGACAGTATGCAAATTCAGTGAATGGCATGCCTGAGCATGGCATTGCCCAACCAGAAATTACTGTACTGACTGAAGCTACTGTATTTGTAAACCAGGTCGCCGGAACTCAATAGCCAGCCAGGTCCCGACCGCGGCATCTTCGATCAAGCCCCCCAAGAAACGGGTGGTCCAGTAGACGATGACGATGATGGGACAGCTGCAGTGGTGTCTTTGCATCTGTCACGAGACTTGGAATGTTGTTGCCCTGTAAACCTGTAGCACGAGGCGCGGGTTAGGATTGTTGTACCTTATGTATCGATTTCGCTGGGCAGGCAGCCATGTACCTGTAACACAACTCCGAATGATCTGAACTAAGGATGATGAGCAGCCGAGCTACGCTTGCTGGCCGCTGTGATGAGATATGATGAGTACGTGGGTTTATTTGCCTCCTGTTAGTAAAACCTGCTGCATCTGCATGCATCCTGATGCAAAATGTGCCGGCCTGCTGCCGCTTTTGCCACCGGAGACCGGTTGTGCAGGCTGCGCTGTCCCTGGCACTGGCTATGGTAATTGATGTAGCACAAAGGAGAGGGACATGTATACCTTCAGAATACTCATATTTTCAAAATTGGAATACTTAATCCAATGCAAAATTATGCTTCACGACTTTACTCATAATCCAATTTTTATTTTGGATGCAATTTAAATTAGTCTTTGGATACAAATCGCCAGAATGTATATTCTTCCTGCATATGCTGTTGAGCGGAAAAGGATTTAATCCTTTATAAGAACTAAGAATATAAAAATTAAAAACTTAAGGATGCCTTAAGTATATCATTTCAAATTCAGTTATTAAAGCCGCCACATGTTTTCATTTTGTGGGATGGTTTTCCAGAATCTATAGCATCGAAATGCTGATCGCCAGTAGGCGAAAAGAAGTTGCTTTGCGGTGAGCGTGGATCGAACACGCGACCTTCAGATCTTCAGTCTGACGCTCTCCCAACTGAGCTATCCCCGCTGTTGACGCTTCTGTTCAAACAAGGTTATTGAACAATACAACACTTCATGAACTGAGTTGCCAACATCGTTGATTTTTGCTTAATAAAAAGAACGAAAGAAATACCACGAACCAAATAATGCTGTAACGACTAAAGTTGGTTGGAACGAAACACTTCAACCCATTGTTATATGCAAGCTGCTCGTGCGTACTCAACCACTGGCATTGATAGGCTAAATTTTGTATTTTGACTCTTTTCTGAAATCTATTTGAGATTTGATCCTAATTTGAAAAAAAATCGAGATCTGACCCTTTTGCTACCGCCAGGGATCATGACGGTAGGGTATAACAGCCTACCGCCAAGGTCCCTGGCGGTAGGGTTGCATGCCTACCACCAAAAACCTTTTTAAGTATTGAACACTGTGCGTGTTCGTGTCTACCGCCAAGCACCTTGGCGGTAGGGTTGTGCGGGCTATCACCGGCCCAGTTGGCGGTAGCGATGTTTCCTGCCGCCAAAGTCCCTGGCGGTAGGCTGTTAGACCCTACCGTCATGGACTTTGGCGATAGCAAAAGGGTCAGATCTCGAAATTTTTTTAAACTAGGGTCAAATCTCGAATAGGTTTCAGAAAAGGTTCAAAACACGAAAATTTGCCGCACTGATACAACACAGCAAAAGCTTGCGAATAAAGAACTTGACTGAAACGTCGCAGACAACAGGACGCTGAGCAGGCCTTCATTTAAAGCAGTTCAATTGTTCAAAGAGAGCAAAGCACTTTGTCGTCCGAGGAACATCTTTAACAGAACGCGGAAGGATATTTAGACAGCACAGACTGTTCCCTAGTATGGCTCATCTGACACAATGATGCAGCATCATTGCACCATCTTCTCTTTCGAGCTGGCAATCTGCCACAGAGAAAAGGAAGCTTCACACTCTGTCCCTACAACAAAGCCAGGACGGAAGAGCTCGAGCTGGGCACTTGTACAAATATGGCGCAATGTATTTCTCCATGGCATTGCCAATCCAAGAAGCATATATACATTGATTGACCACCTGGTCACTGCATCCGTCGCTACTGGAGTACCTATCTTGAGCTGCCTAGAGGGCTCCGGGTGCGATGGCTGCTGCATCCTTCGTTACCTACCTCGAGACGCCTAGAGAGTTCCGGCTGCTGGGGTTCCGGGCGCCGCCGCCGTCTCCGGTCACCGGCGTTGTGACAAACGGTGGCTCTGGATCACCTGAGTACGGTGAGTGCCCCGACGGCAACGAAGATGACGAGGTCGGCAGGTTCCTGCGTCGCTCCGCCAAGGTCCCGGTGCTGCGGCTGCCGGAGAGGGCCATCCCGCGGAAGAAGAAGAAGAGTGATAAGGCGGCGTGGGCTCCCCCAGTCATCGACATGCGCCTGCTGGACACGCCGGATGGCAGTGGTCCGGTGGTGGAGGCTCTGAGGTCGGCGGCCGTCGCGTTTGGCTGCTTCCAGGTGGTTGGCCATGGGGTCAATTTGTGCCTGGTCTCTGCTGCGGCGGGGAGGGCGAGTTCGCCTACGCCGGAGGAGGCCGGTGGAGAAGATGGTGAGGAGCTGTGGTGGTCACCGAGCGAAGGAGACCAGTTGAGGTGCGAACTTGCCCATTTCGTCGGAAGGCAACTAATCAAAGGACTCTATATGATGCTAACCCCTGGTTTTGCCGTGTCCAGGAACGGGGCAGCCGATCTGTTCACCCAGCTGGAGCAAACCGCAGCCAAACTGGTGGATGCCTTGCAGCGGGACAGCGTTGGCGCCACCATGGTCAGAGCTGACAGGAACGGCTCGCAACTCTGCATCCGCACGCACCACGGCCGGCAGTGCGATATCGGCCCTATCACTATCAGCCAGGACGACATCCTGAGGATGCTGATCAAGAGCTCGCGCTGCCCGCGTGCTCTCGCTCTCCACCTCTGCCCCGGCGCCTCCACGTTCCACGTCTTCTCCCGGCAGCGGGGATGGTCCAGGTTCCGCCCCCTCGGTGGCGCCGTCGTGGTCACCGTCGGAGACCAGCTTCAGGTGACGCACCAGTCTCTTGAGCGTGACCCTTTTTTCAGACGAAATCTGGCCGATCTTGCAAATGCACGCTGCATCATCATCACAATCGTACATTGCCTTCCGGTTTACCTGCTTCGCTCTCCACATATGCAGGCATGGAGCAGTGGACTCTACAAGAGCGTGGCCGGGAAACCGGCTTACAGCGACGGCGATCTCCGAGCAGAACGCGGCTGCGACGTCGTCTCGGCGGAGTACCTCCACACCTGCTCTTCGGCTAGCATGGAGAGCGAGCCCCTGGACGCGGATGCCGGGAAGACCATTCAGTTGAATGTGCAGATCATTGTAGCAGCTTGCCTTGTGCTCCTTTACTACTTTCTCCTGTCATGCTTGTATACGATTTGGTCTTGAGAAGCTGCAGCAGGATTTGTTGCCCTGAAAATGCAGCTCGGTTTTTATTTCAAGTTCAGCTCGGCTTTTGGAAATGGAATTGGTGTGTCAGTTTTGGCGAGAATATTACTCCCTCTATAAACTAATATAAGAGCATTTAGATTACTACTTTAGTATTCTAAACGCTCTTATATTAGTTTACGGAGGGAGTATTTAGCACGGGACCAAAAGGATAGGGTAGGAAGCAAGAACCTCTTTGGGGCTCTCACACGACCACACGACCAGACAGAAGCACGAAACATTTAAGTCAGGTGTTTAAACATCTAAGTATCACCTTACACTACAGTCAAGAGTCGTCTGCTACACAAAGATTAACACGACTACAAAACATTTACTACTGTACACTATGTTCTATAATTAACAGCGACAAGCAGAAACATCTTCACAAGAACACGCTAGGCCGCATTCAGAACTTTGCCCACAAACACGAAACTACCACTGAGCTGGATCAAAAAGACGAGGCAAACCCGCACTTCAGCCCTCATGGCAAAAGATTTCTACGATACGGTACGCCCATAACATACTGAAGCAAGGTAGAGATTCTTGGACCATTTCTCCTGCAATGACACAAAAGGGCACAATTTGTCACAACAATTTCACAAGATAAGAATTACAGACGTTATCAGTAAGTAGTGCAAGTGTGGACCTTCACATGCTGACTGGGGAAAGCAGATGTTCTCAGCGTCTCTTGGGTTTCATCGGTAGGCTTCCTTCTTGGTACACTTAAGATCAATGCAGTCTGATCCCAAGTCGCAGCAACTGCTGTTATCCGGTAACCACAGTCCCACCTCTTATGGACTCCCTCACTAGGGTACAAGAAGTCCAGCTCAACAACCTGGAAAATAAATGCATGACAAACAAGGAATGCAAAATAAATAAATAAAATGAACTTAGCTTGGCAGTGTCCAAGTAAAGACAAACACAACCGGTGCAAATGGTGATTACCTGTTCAGAAAACCCTGCATTGCGAGACATAACAATCGCCCACTTATTCCCCGCAGTTGCCATGGAAGTCACATAGAAACCATCACGCCATTTCTTGTTTATCCACTTAAAGGGAAAGGTATCACTTACTTTGTAGGACTGCTGAGTATACAGTGTTCCTGGATAGAAGAGCCGGATAGTCAAAATGATATTTCTATTGTATAAGATAGAAAGGGCCTTAAACTGCCAGCTTGTTACCTTTGGACATCACTACCAGGGAACTCCCATTGTTTGCTCCAGCAAGTGCAGTTATATAGTAGTTCCTATCCCATTGGTCCATTATCCATTCCTTCAAATAACCAGAAATCACGACATATAAATAGGTAATGTTGAAAAATATTATATATGTAATCTTGCCTCGAAAGGTTAAGGGGTTATTTTGCCATGAAAGAAACAGACTGCAGTTACTAACTTTGTGAAGAAAATGTGGTGAAAGTTCATAAACTTGAGAAGAGAACCCAGTGCCAGCATCCATGATTAGTGCCCACAGATTTGCACAAGATGATATGCAACTAATAAACAGTCCATCTTCATTCCCTTTGTCAATGTGTTGTACAAGCCTTGAATCTGCAACATTGTAGTGATACCTGCAACATCCAGAACAGTTATGTTGACAGTGTTATATGTACAGTTGCTCAACAAAAAGAAAAAGGTGCACCATGCTGTTAACCAGAGTCAAAATCTTCGGCCTTATAAGAGATGGTACCTTTGTTTCATAGGCCGCCTTGCATTATAAACACTTATCCACTGTGTTGCAGGCATTCCCATCCTGATCTTCTTCTTTGGTTGCTCATCTGTCTCTCCTTCCAACGATATGCGCCCTCTCTTTTGGCCAACTTGGTGTATAAGCTATATAGAAGTTGCAAGAGAGATTAGAAGAACTGAAGCAATGTTTTCAAATAGCAAACTACAAAATAAGACTACCTTCTGAGCACCATCTGTGTTAATTGGCCTGATATCTGGATTTGGGCCCACTATACTATCAAAAAGGGAGATACACTTGGCATAGTTGGGTTCTTCATCAAACTTCAAGTTGACCACATATTCTACAAACTCCTTAAAGGGCTGAGGGCAGAAGCTACAGAGAGATTCTGGAGAGGTGCACATTTTCTTTTTGCAAACAAGAAAACCCTTGTTTTCACCCTGCAGGCAAAAACAATTACCAGTTTACATGTATACATCCCTAGAATCAACATAACTGGAAAGGTGAGTCCCACAAATTACCTGGTAGCCTTGCCAAGGTAGACGTCCCCGTAGAAGAAAGACTAGTGTATAAGCCAGAGATTCTAAATCATCCCTCCTGCTGCCTATCCTCCCCAGATGTGCATGAACACTAGCATAACGAACTGTTCCCCTGAAACAACAGCCATGATAAAACAATAAGACAACCAGACCAGTATAGACGTATGAATGATCTAGCTATGTGTGCAAGCAAGCCTAAGATGCACAGAGGCATGGCAGGTCTACTGATTACTATTACATGAAGTTAAATTTGACATCTCAATGATTTGACAAAAAACGGACTGTATTTCCTAGTCAGAGCGGGCAGCTATCAACATACTCCCTCCTTTCAGGTATGTCTCACACACACACACCCAATTAGCTGCACGAGAGCACGCGCAACACCTACATGGCAAGTAAGAGCATGGCTAATAGAAAAGCCTGCTGCTGGCTCTATGCTTGTGCCATGTCACTTAAAGCCTTCACACAAGTAGACTCATATAATAGGATGGATGTACATTAGCTATTAGATTGCCTATAGCACTGCATCACATGATTGGGAGGGAGGAAGAACCGCTAGCCAAAAGCTCTCACACCAGCTGCATGTGGTGCCTTTTTTCTCGTTTCCTGTGCTGCAGCCCGCTGTAGAACTAGCGCCCGCTTCGTTCTCTCTCTTCCCTTCTCACTCCACAATCCACACAGGATTTTGCTGACATGGAGCATGTAGTCTGCTGACTAGAACCTATTATACTTGCTCTAAATAACCACGGCTCCGCAAATAATTGGCTCACTCATTTACCATTGGCTGCATGCCTGCATGGTGTACAAGCAACAGCTTGCATGCAGCATTTAGTTAGTTCTCTCATGGGAGAGGTAATCTACCGGCCTAACAAATACAAAAGATCTAAAAAATCTGAGCAGCCTAAAGATACCCGAACAGAAGGCGTGTCAGTCAGGATCTGTTGAATGATACCAACTCAAATCTGGTATATTTGGCGATGTTAAGAAGAACATAAAAGCTAGTGGTTTCGCAAGATATCGGAACAGAAAATGAGGAAAAAGTACAAACGGAAAGTACAAAAATGGCTGGCCAGTAACCGAAAAAAAGGACGGCTTCTGGTGTAACAGCTGGTTGATGGATTTCTCGAAAAACAGGACACAGAGCGCATAGAGGCAATACGGCAGAATATTCAACATTCAGAAAGTGTTAGCCACAATGCAAATGATGCAGGCCAGTTATCATAAAGGAGTCATCTAGTCACCTGAAAATATCAGGTCGCTGATCATACTCAACATGATGGCCTGTCGATCTATCCTTCCACTTGGTGGCTGTCATTAATGAAAAAACACCCAATTAATTCAGACTCCTAAATGTATCTCTAACCTAAAGAAGAGCTGAATACACAGGATTGTCGCGATGTTGGTAACTTGAGGAGCAAGTAAAATTAATTACCTAAGCCAAGGTCGACAAGAAACAGTTTTTTCTCTTCAGGAGTTCCAGGAGGTCCTAGCAAGAAATTCTCGGGTTTCACATCCCCGTGGACATATCTGCAATTGTTTACAAATATATGAGACGAAGGGGAAGGGTCGATGACTAAGAGTTAGGGATGCCAACTCACCCTTTTGAGTGCACTTTCTCAAGTATGGAGATAGCTTCGATAGCAATGCAAGCAACCATCTCAACTGACATTCTGCGAAATAAATAGTGATATTAATGGTCAGGTAAGAGCCTAAACGACTATGGAAATTTAGGGTTAATCTGATAACTCACGTGTGGGAATTATTACTACATGCATCCCACAGACTGAGACCTAGCATATCCATAACCTGCATTTTTAAGCAATTTGAGAAAAAACTAGAAATGAGCAAAATGAAATAAGCTTATGTTAGTCCAAAGCAAGTGCCATTACCATAATGAAGTAATCCCCTTGGCGGCCTTTGTAGTGGACTCGAGGAACCCCATGAATGCCACCGAGGATACTATACATGTTGTAGGCATGAAAATTAGTCAGCAGCACTCAGCAGCAATATCTGAGAATTACAGGAAAGCATTTATTTTACTAGTACCCAAAAGTCACAAGGTCATGAATCCACTTACTCATAAACCTGCCACTCATAAGGAGGCCCATGGTTACATCCTTTGCTGTTCTTATGCTCAAACTTTAACGCCACCTATCACACAAAAGCAGAAATCTTATTTGCCACTGCCAATATTATCTCCACTGTTACACAGGTCAGAAGCCAACTATTCCAGCTTTTTTAGCAGGTTGGTGGTCAGATCATCAATTACCTCAACTGCGCCTGGAGCATTAGCTGAAATGCGGCGGCCAACGTATACTTGGCCAAATCCTCCTTTCCCAAGCTTCCTTTCAACTTTATACCTAGGTGAACTGGCCACCTGGACCTGTATAGAACGACCAGACACAGATTAAACGAGAAAAAAAGGATTATCTGGAACAGTTAGAGGCAAAATGCAAGCTAGGGCAAGCAAGCTAACGCATTTGCGGGTAGAATAAACAGCACAGAACAGGACCATGCGAGCTAAAACACATATATCAACAATCTATGGAGTAACCTCGGGATAGTTTAAACGCTCGCAACCAATAACCTGCTTATAGCCTTATAAAATTCCATAAAAAAAAACACATTAACAAAGTGAACCTCAGGGTAGCAAGTATGGGTGGATCGAAACATAGTAGGAACAGCTCACCGTCTCGGGGATTGGAGAGGCATCCTCGCCGGCCTGTTTGTCGGCGCTGTCCTGGTCATCCATCGGCTCCTCACCGGCGCGTTCCCCTGAGACCTCCGCGGGCGCGATCTCCTCCGCCGCCGCCCTCTCTTCCTCCGGTACCGCGGCCTCACGGACGCCTCCCGCCTTCTGCCTTCTCGCCGCCCTGCGCCTCCTCGTCGCCGGTGGCACAACCGGTGCCTCCGCCGCCGCCGCCGCCGCCGGATTCTCCTGCGCCTCACGGGCCCTCCGAGCCGCACTACGCAGCACAGGCATCGTCAGCGATTGAGCCCCATGGCCCGCGCCCCGCCGCTGTCGATCCCTCAGATTCCGCCGGCAAACAGCAGTAACGGCGCCGATCTCGAAGGGGAGGGGGCGGTGCGGCAAGGTTCCGGTGGCGGCGTGCGGTGGCGAGTGCGGGGAGCGGGACGGGAGCGGTGGTGCCGGCGCAGATTTGAGGGAAGGAAATGGGAGCGAGGGCCGAGGGTGGAGGGCTGGAGGCGGTGGTGCTGATGTATACAAATCGGCTAGACGCGGAGTGTGTTCGCTGCGAGAGGAAGGAAGCGAAGGAAAGGATTAGCACAGCACCGCGTGTACCTCCGCCCAAACATTACAAACTTGCAGCACGTGACGGCGTAATGAGGTCTAGATTTTTGCTTCCAGGACCTCACAAGCTACACACAGACTTGGAATGATCATCTAAGGGCTTCTTTGGATCACAGGATTAAAAAACAAAGGAATTCAAAAAACACAGGAATTTGACGGGATTGTAGGTGCAAAACAGAGGATTACAAAATAGAGGAAAACTACAAGAATGGTCATTTGGATGGAACACAGGAAAAACACAGGAAAAGTGCCTCGATCCTACGCGAATCAGTGTAAAAAAGAGGTTATAGTGGATGTTGAAATTCCTATAGGATTGAGGTGTAGGAATGCATCCATAGGAATTTTGGAGGTGTGGTTCCTTTGATCCAAAGGGCTTCTTTAGGAAAAAATCCAATGGATTGGAATCCTCCAATATTCCTATGAAAATCCTTCAATCCAAAGAGGCCCTAAAAAAGACCTATAAAATCGACCTATACCTCTTTACTATCCAAAATTCCTTTTCTGTGCAGCTGCCAACTTTTGTCCGACTACGTCCAACCCTCCCGCCATCCGTTTATGTTTTGTTCTTACGTCGTCTTTCGACGCCGCACGAAGTATCAGCGAAAGATTCGGCCGGGCTAATCCCACATGCGCACATCTTATAATTCCCGCCCTTCTCCCCTCCCTCCTTCTGGATCGCCGTCGGAGCGCGCCGCCCCTAACTCCCACCTCTTCACGATTGTCGTGTGCTAACCCTAACCCTATCCATGGGCACGCCGCCGCCTTCAATCTCTAGGGCGAAGTCATCTCAGGATGACTATGGGTGTTAGGGATGCACAACGTTGCACTGAATCACTCTCAAGGGAGGTAGGCATGATGGTGCTTATGCCCATGGGGAATGGGACGGGCGACTGGTTGGAGGAGGCGATGGGCGTCAAAGCATGATAACGACCTACCGGGAGGCCTTGGGGCTCCAGATCAGGGTCTGCAGTGCAATTACATGTTGCTAGTAGCGCAACAATGGTGTAAATTCATTGCCTCCACTGACCATAGTCGGCGAGGCATGGCCACGTGATGGGCATGTGGGCGCTGCTCAACCTGGCGCCTAGGTGGGAAGGATTCCACTTAAACTGGTGCAGATGCCCAAATGGGCTAGCCTGCTATTGAAAAATGGGGCACTCAACGTACTGTCCATTGTGTTGAGAAGATGGAGTTTCACTAATCTACTGGGTCACGTTGATAGGTAAGTAGGCGATCTGAGTTTTCATTATAAGTTTGTGGTTTGTCTTTGGGACGCGAGATGCAATGTTTACCTAGAGTTATTAATGTTGGTTACGCATGGCGGGTTCCAAATCAATGGGGAGTGACTGGTTATTCGAGCACGGATCTCTGATTATGACGTCGTCCTGAATATATACCGAGATACAACGGAAAAGAGTGCAGGTGAGACAACGTCAGAGAGTGTTGTAGGGAGCTATGTAGGTGAGTCGGGGTGATGACATGGAGCGCTCTAAAGGCCACAATGGAGATTGCTAGGGCTTCTACAACGTAAAGAAATATTTCACCTCACTAGTGAAATTGTTTTGGTATTTGTATTATCATATTAGTATTCAAAGTTCAACCATATTTTGTTGACTTTGTTGATTTCAATCATATTTATTGTGTGTTGCATGAGTTATGGAATTCTAAAGTTTTTTTAGTGAATATTTATACATATGTCTCTCGCCTAACGTGTTTGCACACATAGGGGGAGAGGAGTTGGTTGCAGGATACTAAATCTTTCTTGGTTGCCAAAGTTCCGTGATTGATCTGCTGGACAATAGCACATTTTTTATAAACGGGAAAGCAATTAATCATTTACCCTTGTATTTCTTAAGATGATTTAGGTACCCTCCTCATGGGTCGGCTTGCGATGCCTATAACTTCACTAAAGTTTACCTCATGTTATCATGTTTAATATTGAATATATGCTATATCATATGTTGAGCAACACTAAAATTTTCTATGTTGTTGGGTATCTGGTAAGCAAAGTTGGCCTCCTCTACTGACCATAGTTGGCGAGGCATGGCCATGTGGTGGGCATGTGGGCGCTGCTCAACCTGGCGCCTAGGTGAGAAGTATTCCACTTAAACTAGTATAGATGCCCAGAGGGTCTAGCTTGCTATTGAAAAATGGGGGCACTCAACGTACTATCCATTGTGTTGAAAAGATGGAGTTTCACTAACCTATTGGGTCACGTTGATAGGTAAGTAGGCGATCTGAGTTTTCATTATAAGTTTTTGGTTTGCCTTTGGGATGCGGGATGCAATGTTTGCCTAGAGTTATTAGTGTTGGTTACGCGGTGGGTTCCAAATCAATGGGGAATGGCTGGTTATTCGATCACGGATCTCTGATTATGACGTCGTCCTGGAGATATACTAAGATACAAAGGAAAAGAGTGCATGTGATGTGAGACAACGCCAGAGAGTTTTGTAGGGAGCTATGTAGGTGAGTCGGGGTGATGACATGAAGCGCTCTAAAGGCCACAATGGAGATTTCTAGGGCTTCTACAATGTAAAGAAATATTTCACCTTACTAGTGAAATTGTTTTCATATTTGTGTTATCATATTAGCATTCAAAGTTCAACCATATTTTGTTGACTTTGTTGATTTCAATCATATTTATTGTGTGTTGCATAAGTTATGGAATTCTAAAGTTTTTGAGGGAAGGGAATGGGAGCGAGGGCCGAGGGCGGAGGCGGTGGTGCTGATGTATACAAATCGGCTAGACGCGGAGTGTGTTTGCTGCGAGAGGAAGGAAGCGAAGGAAAGGATTAGCACAACACTGCGTGTACCTCCGCCCAAACATTACAAACGTGCAACACGTGACGGCGTAATGAGGTCTAGATTTTTGCTTCCAGGACCTCACAAGCTACACAGAGACTTGGAATGATCATCTAAAAAAGACCTACAAAATCGATCTATACCTCTTTACTATCCAAAATTCCTTTTCTGTGCAGCTGCCAACTTTTGTCCGACTACGTCCAACCCTCCCGCCATCCGTTTATGTTTTGTTCTTACGTCGTCTTTCGACACTGCACGAAGTATCAGTGAAAGATTTAGCCGGGCTAATCCCACATGCGCACATCTTATAATTCCCACCCTTCTCCCATACCTTCTTCTGGATCGCCGTCGGAGCGCGCCGCCCCTAACTCCCACCTCTTCACGCTTGTCGTGTGCTAACCCTAACCCTATCCATGGGCACGCCGCCACCTTCAATCTCTAGGGCGAAGTCATCTCAGGATGACTATGGGTGTTAGGGATGCACAACGTTGCACTGAATCACTCTCAAGGGAGGTAGGCATGATGGTGCTTATGCCCATGAGGAATGGGACGGGCGACCGGTTGGAGGAGGCGATGGGCGTCAAAGCATGATAACAACCTACCGGGAGGCCTTGGGGCTCCAGATTAGTGTCGGCATTGCAATTACATGTTGCTAGTAGCGCAACAATGGTGTAAATTCATTACCTCCTCCACTGACCATAGTCGGCGAGGCATGGACACGTGATGGGCATGTGGGCGCTGCTCAACCTGGCGCCTAGGTGGGAAAGATTCCACTTAAACTGGTGCAGATGCTCAAGGGGGCTAGCCTGCTATTGAAAAATGGGGCACTCAACGTACTGTCCATTGTGTTGAGAAGATGGAGTTTCACTAACCTAGTGGGTCACGTTCATAGGTAAGTAGGCGATCTGAGTTTTCATTATAAGTTTGTGGTTTGCCTTTGGGATGCGAGATGCAATGTTTACCTAGAGTTATTAATGTTGATTACGCATGGCGGGTTCCAAATCAATGGGGAATGGCTGGTTATTCGAGCACGGATCTCTGATTATGACGTCGTCCTGGATATATACTGAGATACAACGAAAAAGAGTGCAGGTGAGACAACATCAGAGAGTGTTGTAGGGAGCTATGTAGGTGAGTCGGAGTGATGACATGGAGCGCTCTAAAGGCCACAACAGAGATTGCTAGGGCTTCTACAACGTAAAGAAATATTTCACCTTACTAGTGAAATTGTTTTGGTATTTGTGTTATCATATTAGCATTCAAAGTTCAACCGTATTTTGTTGACTTTGTTGATTTCAATCATATTTATTGTGTGTTGCATAAGTTATGGAATTCTAAAGTTTTTTTAGTGAATATTTATACATATGTCTCTCGCCTAACGTGTTTGCACACATAGGGGGAGAGGAGTTGGTTGCAGGATACTAAATCTTTCTTGGTTGCCAAAGTTCAGTGATTGATCTGCTGGACAATAGCACATGTTTTATAAACGGGAAAGCAATTAATCATTTACCCTTGTATTTCTTAAGATGATTTAGGTACCCACCTCATGGGTCGGCTTGCGATGCATATAACTTCACTAAAGTTTACCTCATGTTATCATGTTTAATGTTGAATATCTGCTATATCATATGTTGAGCAACACTAAAATTTTCTATGTTGTTGGGTATCTAGTAAGCAAAGTTGGCCTCCTCTACTGACCATAGTTGGCGAGGCATGGCCACGTGGTGGGCATGTGGGCGCTGCTCAACTCGGCGCCTAGGTGGGAAGTATTCCACTTAAACTGGTACAGATGCCCAGAGGGGCTAGCTTGCTATTGAAAAATGGGGGCACTCAAGGTACTATCCATTGTGTTGAAAAGATGGAGTTTC